AATATAAATTCTATTTCCAAGTTTAAGCGTGTAATAAATAAGGCTCCAGCCCTGCGAAACGGTGCCGTTTTACTAGTTATTAGGATCAAGTTAATAATGCATTTATCATACTTTGATATATGGCAAAGTGCTCTAATTATTATTATCAGACAAACTCACAGTCATAGCGCAGTTTTTGCACGTTATTTTTTTTTTAGATGTCATAACGTAATGCAAAATAATTAAGTTTTTTTACAAATAATATAATAAATTGGGCTGGGAAATTTAAATTAAAATTAAAAATTTTTCAAAATTCCATACATTGGTCCAGGAAATACAAATTCTAATCAGAATCTTATCAAATTTCCAAATGCTGGGCCGAGAGACTTATTCTGATTAAAAATTTTTTTAAAAAAATTCCAATATTTTTTGGCGAATTTACTAAAATTCTAATATATTATGCTGGAAAATTTATAATTAGGACTAGATGCGATCCGTTATCCGTTTTCCTATTTAAAATTTAACGGATATCCGGATCGTATCTCTAATTGGGACTGTATAAAGCTTTTATAGATCTTATTAATATAGCAAGTAAAAACTTATATATAATATGTTATTTCGGCATTGTCAAATCACACCACTAGTGTTTAACACCACAATAGTTTTTATTATAAGGTGTAACGTAGATTTTTTTAAAAAAAGTATAGCTCAAAATTTTATCTATGAAATCACTTTTTGAGCTCCCACCCTATATATATCATATATATCGCACCTGTGGTGTTCAACACCATAATAATGAGCTGCAGTTTAACGTAAAATCAAAATACTTTTTATTAAGTTTTAATGGGGTGGGAGCTTAGTTTATACCAAATTTTGCAAGGAATTTTTTTTGTTAGAGACACCCGATCTTTAATGTTATAATAAAAACTATTGTGGTGTTAAACACTAGTGGTGTGATTTAACAATGCCGATAATCAATAACAATATTTATAGAATTAAATACTTGAATACTGTATGCTTTTTATTTTTATAATATTTGAAGTATCTCTATTTTAATATAGATAACAAAATATAAGGTAGCTATCGGGTACCGATCAGTGTTTGAAATTTCAGATCTAAACACTGTTCTCATGAGAACAGTATAATACCTATAGGTGTTCTCACACTAATATTTCTGTTCTCGCTTAATGATCATAAAAAAAAAAAAAAACGACACCGATTTGATTTTAAAGTGCATATATCGCAGGGCATAAATCAGTTATACCCTGGGCACTATGTGTATAAGCGGGACTTTCAGCCCCGCTTATACCCAACTGCCCAGGATATAACTATTACATATAAAATTTTGAAAGCCGCATTCTGTCATACAAGAAGTAGATTTCCGTGTACTCATATGTATATACATCGAATTTTCGATTATGTATTTCAAAAATTTATCTTAGATTAATATAACTGTCTTTATATTAGAATTTTTTATGATTTTTGAATATAATATATTTAGCATTTAACTTTGTGTATAATATTATATATATAGTTTTCTATTATATACTTATGAGAACACAATAATTATTTTACTGTTCTCAAAAAATTTTTAATAGTGAACAGTAAAAAATTTATACTGTGCACAAATTTATAATTGTGTTCTCATGAGAATTCCGAGAACACAAATTTCAAACACTAGCCACGATAACAATATCAATATGTTAAGTATATGTATAAGGGGTTCTAACTATTAATTGATTTCTCTTTCTTATTTTCTCTATGAGAGCAAGAAGAATTCGGGGACAAGGTTTTGGATCAACAGGGAACTTAGAGTCAACACTTCTACTCGGATTTCGAAGGTTAAACTCTATTTGGGTTATACAACGAAGTAGCGGTTTATTTTATAATATTAGGACAGCGACAAGGTTAATTGGACGATTTATTATGAACAACGGGATAATATAAGTAATAAAAACTACTGGAGTACTTCTACTTTTATTGTTTCGAAGTTTTACTCAACTGAGTTCTATCTTTATTTCAGGCGAAATAAGCTTCGCTTTTAATACTTTTTTACAGGTCAAGTAATTACAATTTATTTGGGTGACATTTAAGCGCTATAGGGACTATAGCTCCTAAAGGTCATAAAGGTAATATGGTCATATAGTTCATAAATGCCTTTAGCGGCATTTATGGCATAAACGGAAAAATGCACTAAAGGAGATATATGACATTACTCCCATATATGGCACTACTTCTAGAACTTTCTAACTTGGTTGAGTTTAACGTTATATACATAGCTAATTCCAAAAAAATATAAGATAGGATCCCCGGAACCCCTCATAACGTGAAAAATGAACACTGCATAGCAATGTTCAAATGTCCAAAATCCAATTAAATTTATTTGGACATTGTCCAAGACTAACACTAAATATAAAAACAGATTTTTTTTACAAGAATTAGATATATTTGTCTAATATTTAATTAAAATGATTGTTTAGATATATTTACAGTACAGGGTTCATTAAAATATCCCTACAAAATTATGTGCATTATTCTCAAAATTCGTGCACATGCCATCACTAGTTCTAATAATAATACGTTTAGAGGTAACCTTTATTTAAAAACGAGTAATAAACTAATAATTTGAATACTGTTTATAATAATAATGTGTAATAATACGTAATAATTAATATGTTGGTCAAATTATAATTAGTCTAACAATCAATCCATCCAGTCTCATACTAGGGATGGTAAAACAGTTTAAAAATGTTTTTTATGTTTTTTAATTGCAGCTGTTTTCGAAAATCTGGTAAAAATTGACCCGCCAAATATCTGCCAGTTCGATAAGCTTTTGCGCAGTGATAAACTTCTGATTTGGGTGTGATTACAGTAATAGAATGGTTAAGAATTAAGGTTCAGATTTCTGAAACCAAATATTCATAAATCTTATTATTTTGATTTGTAGTTATTTATATAATAGCAATAATAATTAACACTTTTATGATCGTGAATTTTCTCTCGAAACTTGGTGCCTTTCATATATATATTTTAAAATGCCTTATATTTATGATCAACAATTACATATTAAAGACATACTGTAAATAGTATTTTAGAAATTCTAATAGAAGAATATTCTAACAATAATCATAATAAAAATACGATTTATTCTCAAAAAGAAATCGATGAAACTGTTGCATACAATTGAATAGATCGATATCTTAAAAAATTTAACCGATAATTTGTAGTTCTTTATTAATTTATTGCAATAGTATCATTTAATAACAATACATTATCAAAATAAAAAAGGGTATACATTTTATCTCCGTATAAATCTTATTTCATTTTCTGTTTTCAAAATTCAAAACAGAAATAGGATATTTTGTACCTCTACTATTTTGAAATAAGTTAATTTCACCTAATGAATCAAAACTTATCGAATCGGCAAATATTCGGTTGGTCAATTTTATCAGATTTTGCAGAATTTATGAAAACAGCTGTAAAACACAAAAATGTTTTAAAACATTGACAGCTGAGTTTGGGATCGAAATAATTGTTTCTGATTGGTTAATTTCTGTACCGGACCGGAAAAGTTCCATAATATCGTTTCAAGAAAACATTCATTACGTCAAATGTTTTAAAATGTATTAAAAACTATTAAACCAAACAAATATGTTTTTAAGTTCATATTTTAAAACATTTGCCATCACTATCTCATACTGATCGGTTCTGGACCGCAGTAAAGTCTAACTTTTTAAATGATTGTTAGTCTTTGGACCAAGACGAACCGGACGGACCAACTAACAGCCCTAATTGTGAATAGACTGTTCATGTACTAATTGTACTTCGAGAAAGAAACAAAAAAATTGTTATAATATGAGTGAATCAAAGTTATCATTAATATAAGTTAATAATTTACTACTGTTTTATTTTAGATTGACATTAACTAGTTTATCTAATCCTGATTATAAAATATTTCTAAAAATTAAAAATTTTCAGCTAAAAAATAAAGACCTTATATAATAAAAATTTTATTATTACATAAATCAAAAATTAAACTGATGTGTAAATATGAAAAAAAAGTGAAGTTTTTTTTTTAATCAACCCAAAGAGATACAAGAATAGATGATTTAATAACTCTCGGAACAGTATAATATTGTTTGCCAATCCACAAAAAAGGTTGCTTTGTATGAAAATATCCTTGATCCATTATTGATTCATCAAGATGTTTAATAAGGTATTTCCTACCATTATATAACGCTGATTTAATCACTTCATCATCTGGCCAATTCTTAGAAGCAGTCTTCAGGAGCCTTACAATATAACTTGTTTCTTCAAGGTTGCCAGGTCCTGTATTCGACGGCTCACCCCAACTTCCATCAGCATGCTGTGTGCTTAATGCCCAATCAACAGTTTCTCTACAAAAATCAAAAAGCACTTTATTTGTTGTGAATCCTAACTTGGCGCATAGATTCGGGTGTTCTTGTAAGGATAATAGCAAATTGTTTGCTTTGAAAGTTACATAAGCTGGGCTTTTATTCCATTTATCAAACCAAATACCCTCTTTTTCTCGTTGTGAAATTAGAAAACTTGTTGCAGTCACAATTATCTCTTCCAACTTTGTAACACTAGTATTAGAAGTGGAGATGTTCACCATTTGATTATTTGATTGCAAATTTTGATACTCTGAGACATAAAGATTGATGGCGTGCACATTACAACTAATTGAGAATGTTCGTTCTGGAATAATTATAAAGTTACAAGTTAATACAAGTTGATGATAACAGAGATAAAATTCCAAATAATAATTATGCATTCTTCTATAATTTATGCAATAACTATGTACATGGTGGCAAGATGTTATTCTTATATATCAAATGACCATATTTGCAGTAAATTTTATTTTAAAGGACTGATATTAATTACTACTGCACCATTACGTAGTCATTATGTGAATAATAATTCGTATGTAGTTCTAAATTTATAATTTATCTAATAGGTTCCTGAGCCCGCTATTTCCTGTCAAACATCTTTGGTCATGTCAGTTATGTGATATTAGACAAAAGAGTGTTCTTAAAGACCTTTAAATTTATTACTAAAATTCTAATTAAGATCAAGCTCAACAAGTTGATTAGAGGTCTTAATATATTTAAAAGCGCATACCATTGGGATAAGTGATGAAATATTTTCCATTATAAAAAGCCTTTGTGATAATGTCAAGATCAACCACACCATCAGAGTCAAACTTCTTAATAAGCCAATTACACACAGCTAAGAAAAAAAAAAAACAGAATGAACTCATATTATTAATTAATATATTATTTTAGAGAATAAAAATATTTACTTGAATCGTCAGCCTAAGAAATTATCCAGATTTAAAATATAATTAGTTGCTTTTAATAGTCAAAAATGAAATATATCAATGATATAGTATTAAGATTTAATTTACATCTTTCGGTATTTTATTGTCCCAACTAGTCCATCGAATAGTTCCACCATGTTCTTTGTTTAATGCAGATAAGTATTTAATAAGTGCAAGATTTTTGGAGAAAAATTTTTTTATTAATATATGCTTGCGCTTGAGGTTAATTTTCTTGCTTGCACGAATATTTAGACATAATTCTCCAATAGAATGCATCATCCAAATAGTTTCAAATAATCCTACATCGCATATAGTAGGAACGAGGCCATGACCTTTTGCATAAGATGGACATTTCGAAATTATCTTTTCCAAAAATTTGAATGCTTTATCGTCCCATTTCTGGGCATGTAAAAGCACTGAAGCAGTAGCGGCTGGTGAAGATCCATAGCTGCCATTAATTGCTTGAAAGTCTTTATTTTGAATTCGTGAAAGGTCTATTTTATCACAAAAAACTTCAATAGAGTGTGTAAGGGTTATTGGTTGGCTTTTTGCTAGAATAATAATCTTGTACAGAGGGATGAGGCTCATCTTTCTTTGACCTTCTTGTAAAATTCGTTCACTTTCAGGGAAATCAAACACAATCGGTTCTTTAAGCTGTGCAAGAGCTGTGAGATGGTAAGGAATTATTAATTCGAAGCATATCGTGTCAAAGTTGTCGAGATTCCATTCATATAGTCTAATAAAGAATTTTATCAGTTACTACTAAAAATTCATTTAACATCTATTTATGCAACGGTTCACTTGTCAGAATATGCAACGAATTACAATTAGATCAACAATCGATGATATGTCAAAATGTTTGTATGGATTGTTTATTAAATATCATGTCGAATAACAGTCAAAAATTTTTTTTGATTTTGAACTCTGACGTGAACCGACCAAAGCCTTCTGGTCGGAATGTTGGCAAATGATCGACCAGACAAACCCCCATTCGGAGGTGAATAAGATGCACTTAATTTTATGATACATACGCTTTTTGTAAAAACTTTTTGGCTTTCTCAAAAATTGCAATATATTGCACCTGTTTAAAGAAAAAAAAACCATTAAAATAAATTTTATTAACGTGGAAACGTTAATGATGAAATTTAAAATATAAGCATTTATGCAATATTTGATATTTACAATGGTTATTCCCAAATCATTCAATTTAATTTCAAAGAATTCACCGGAATGGAATCGGAAAAGACCTAGAGCAAGAAGACCCGCAAGTCCTGGTACTATGCCACCAGCACCATTACCAGCCCAACTACCATGCATATCTTGGTTATTTAAAAGCCATAAGAAACATTGAGGGAATGCTAAACTGAAATCCTTTGAAATCTTTGATTCTTTATAAATTTTACTAGGAATCATTGCGACCCAAGCAGTATCATAAGGAGACATGGATATATCACCATACCCGATCCAATTTGGATCATCGGCATGCTGGAAAGATTTAAAGTGGTTCTTAAAAAATTCTGGACATATTTCATTCCCGTGTTCAGTTAAGAGTCTGTCAGAATATTTAATAATTTTAGTCCGTAATTGATTTTTTTCGTTCTTTTCGGATAACATTTTGAGAGTAGATAGAAGATTAATGCCAAATATTTTTCTACTTCTTATACGCTTTTCTTATATAAGTTTTTCTTGTCACACGAATTTATATCCTTATTACTTTGCTAAAATTGTTCATTTTGCGACAAAATATTTTAGATCTTAGTGTCAATTATTAATAATGTAGGTCGCTCTTACTAACACCATTAACGGGTTTTTGATGAAATATGAAAAATTATTACTCCGTCAAAAACATCATTAAAGCTTCGTTAATAGTGTTAGTAAGAAACTATTTTAGATCTAGTGTATTTTTTTATGTATTGCACACCGGTTGAAGGATCAGTCATGTGGTTCCTCCTGTTATGTAATAAAATAGTTGTACCCAAATATAAAGTTCGGTTGTGGTTAGATTTTTATTTAATGTCATATGCATATCGAGATCAGCGTGACGTGACTGGTCCAGTGATATGGGCCGATGTTAAAACAGGCTAATTCAACGTAAACCAATTTTTCGGGTTATCAATTGACCCAGAATTTATAAAAATAGCTGTAAATTCGGTAAAAGAGCTTTTAATAATATATTTTTAAAGAAATAGAATGTCAGAAAAATGTACCATTCGGAAAAATAGCATGTCAGTAAAATTGGGGTGGTGCGCATTTCGCCGACAATCACTTCACCGGCAGCTCAGTTCATCGACAATTAATTCATAGACAAATTTATCTCACCGACAATTATTTCACCGACAACATTTCACCGACAAAGTAATTCTGGTCATTGTTGTTAGTGTGAGGTTAGAATTAGAGTTAATGTTAGTGTAATTTATAAAAAATACTTGTCGGTGAAATGAGCTGTCAGTGAAATAATTGTCGGTGAAATGAACTTGTCTGTGAATTAATTGTCGGTGAACTAAGCTGTCTGTGAAGTAATCGTCGGTGAAATAATACGTATCCGTAAAATTGATATTCATCATTATAATATTCGGTGAAATGGAAATTGCAGATCAGATAAATGGCTTACCAGTAAAATTTATTGTCAGTTAAATGATATTCCGGTAAAATAAGACTTTCGGACTTATGTCTAGTTAGTAAAATAGGATGTCAGTATTATGACTTCGATTTCAGTAAAATTGATTTTGGGATGTTGACCCGTAACCTTTTTGCGTTACTCTATCGATTAAGTTTACTACATATGATATATATTATTATTTGAAGGATATTACGGATAGAGCGAAAATAATGTTTGTCGGGTTAATTCTTTACTTACCTAATATATATGTTGTAAGTGGAAACGGAATTTAAGTGGATTTTGAGATTTCTTAGTTAAACTATCATTTGGAAGTTTATTTATATATCTATATACCCTAATTCTAAGATTCTTAACCCACCTAAATTCTGTTCCACTTATATCATATATAACTCAAATAAAATGTTTATTCAAAAAATAATTAAGATTTTTGAAATACTTAGCTTCAAAGATTATATCATCCTATTCTCTGTGATTTATTTCTTTAACTATTATTATAAATACTTAACTCGGTCCAACCCGTGCCCTGGTCCGCTGCCTCTGCCATTAATTGGGAACCTCCATAACCTCGGAATCGATGTCAAAATATTCTATAAAGAATGTCAAAAGAAATATGGAGATATCTGTGAAGTAAATATCTGTGGACAAAGATGTATAATTCTTTCACAGCCAAATCATTTTGAAAAGATTTTATCTCCAAAGATATTTTCACCAAGGCTTCCGTATGTGCAGGGAATGGATGAACTTGGGCTTCATGGACATGGGATCGTCTTTAATAATAATTATAAGAGTTGGAGTTATAATAGACAATTCTTTACTCAGTCTATATTGTTGCCCAAATTTATGGACACTTCCATAAAGGCTACAATTAAATTATTTGAAGAATTGAGCGAATACTGGCAATCCATTGTAAAACAAAATTCTTCGAATAATGCTCACTTCCTTAATCATTGCAAACACTGAAAAAGATACTTCAAATATAAGTCCAAAAGACGTCAAGACATCTGTACCTATGACAGACAAACAGATCAGGGGTAATTTGTTTGATGCTTTCGCAGGTGGAACTGATACTGTTAGTATTGTTATTTATTTGTATTTACTATTTCCACCCGTAATTTACTCATCATTTATCATTATTTATTATGATCTGCTTGTTTAGACAGCTAATTTGTTCTGCAGTATAACCTACCTGGTTAGTAAACATCCACATGTTAAACAAAAAATGCTTGCAGAAATTGATTCTATTTATCCGAATTCTTTCGATAAATACGAAATATCACGTGAAGATCTTTCAAAATTAAATTATTGTGAAGCTATTATCAAAGAAGCTGGTCGACTGATGCCGTTAACAAATTTTATAAGTCGTCAGATTTCGGAAGATTGTGAAGTTGCTGGACGCAAATTTGACTCTGGTACATTGATTCATCTGAACGTTTTGGCCGCACATAATGATCCAGAACATTGGCTCAATCCTGAAACTTTTAACCCAGATAGATTTTATAATAGTCAAAATGATAAGAAATTAGAAAGCAATCATGAATTTGTATTATTTGGTGGAGGTCGACGAACATGCCCCGGAAGGAGGCTGGCAATGACTGAATTAATTTTATTAATGGCATTAGTTTACAGATTTTATAATTTCGAATTAGTTAAGATGCATGAACCATTAAAAATTGTTGGTGCTTTTAATAATTGTCCAGAACTGAAAGTTAGAATTAGTCCTAGAATCTTAATTTAATTCATTTAAATTTTAAGCTTTTTATAAGCTTTAATATTTGAATTATTATTATTATAATTTAATCAAAATTACAGTAAATAGATTAAAATAAAATTTGCCGCGCCATAATCAATATATTGGTATATAAATTTAATTTATAATAATAGCTCGATCGGTCAAGAAAGTATATCATTTCAATCAAATGAAGATGTAGAGTTAATACTTCTAGCTGGATTTATATATCCGGATATATAAACTATATCTGGATTGGGGTATTAACTCTAGGCCAGTGACCTTCATAGAGCTGCGCTGATTGGCCAAAATTTATAATAGGTTGAGATTATTCAAGCATTTTATGATCAAACTATATCTTTTTTTTTATTCTTTGCATTGGATACTTTTCTAACAAGTACCAACAACAAATTATTTTTTATTCTTCATACTAGAAAATTTACAGCAAATAAAAATATCACGAATCCCCAAAATAACTGAACTCGTTTATCAATATTGAAGGGTGCATAATTTGTTCAACATCATACAAAATCAAAATGAAAAATAAAACCCTTATTTTCCACTGCGGGGAGTTAAGCTGGTAGAATTTACGCGCCGTTGCGAAAAATAAATAGTACTTATTCACTTTTAATTTGATTTTCTTATTTGATACCTGTCAAGGAAAACATGGAATTGTGACTTATCTGAACTCAGCTTTAAAGAAAGCCGCTTATTAAATTATTACGAGATTTCCGAGAATGAAATTTTCGGAAATTAAAAATTCCGAGTTTTACCTAGGTCTTATTTCAATTATTTAGTCGGTGATGATCATAATAGTGGGCGTATTTAAAATAAGTCATTTCTTTATATTTATATTAAATTAGTCTGTAAGTGATAGCCTAAAATTTTCGCGCTCCTCAAGTAATTCTATCTTGGTAGATTATAAATTACCTGCCATTACTTAAGTCAACTATTTGCCGGAAAGTATAAAATAATTTGTTGATCGAAAACAATGTATACACTTATTAGTTTTATTAGTTTATTGTCCATGTTGATTTGATTGATAAACAACCTTTTATTTGAGTCGATTCAGTCAATATTGAAATAATCTATATATCTATTATTAATTTTTTATTTGTATTAATTTATGATAGGCGGGTTTTGGTAGGGTTCATATTTTAAATTAAATCCCTCAGATTTCACTATCTTCGTGACATTGGTAAGAAATTTTATTATTTAACTGTTCTCAAAATTTTTTGATAGTGAACAGTAAAAAATTTATACTGTGCACAAATTTATAATAGTGCTCTCATAAGAACTTTGAGAATACCAATTTCGAACACCGATTCTTATCTGTACTATACTTTGAGAGCACTTACAACTATTAGCACTGTTCTCGTGATGCCAGAATTGTATGGTACCTACTTTAAAAACCATACTTTACTATATAATCTACTATAATTTCCAATGCTAAGCTTAATAATATATGACCCGGATCAGTTCGGTACAAACTTTAAAATAGGGTATTTCACATCCCATAGCATACTAATCTGCGTAATTAGAAATGATTTTGACAGATAATCACTATTACGTATTAACACAGACTAATCTAATGCGAATAAGCAAAATGAGAAGTGAACAGCTCATATTAAATGCTTAGATCAATAAATGATCGCTACACTTAGAGACTAAATCAATATGAATAATAAATGAGGAATTGATTATTATTTTGATGCTCAATTGATAATTGTTATACTGTGGGAGTCAGCGAAACCCGATTTTGCAGATCATTTGCAGATCAAATTGGGCGAAACTAAAATTCCTCTGGGCGAAACGTATCGGCTTTGGGGGGAGGTTTAGGCTGACACGCTGGTGGGAGTTAAATTGAAGATCCTCATCTGATTTCGGATAAATCAAATTGAGCGATCTTTAAAATTTTAAATTAATCAGCTACAACAAGATACGAATCACCCATAGCGCCAGTTTTTAGACTACAACCAATAGAACTTTATATCAAATTTTCATGTAATGGTATAATGGTTTACACTATATATTTAGTTGGGACTGAACTAAGAACAATCGTTATTTATGGGTGTCGTTTATTCGATTGGTTGTATATAATTTCTTTACATATTAGAGTTAGAAACCTGTATCATTTCGATGCTAACCCAAGCGTATGATTTAATTATGAGCGAATTAAATTAAATTGATATTAACTCTATAAGGGAACCAACACTTATTACGTAAATATAGCCTCCCCATTTGACAATTACAAATTCCAATGTAATC